GGAACACAAACTAATGTTCAGTTTCAAATTACATCACTACATCCTGTTTAATTGAGGTGGCAGCTTTTCAGTAACTTTGCCACAGACCCATAATGTCCACATGCTGCAGTTGTGTCAATGGGCAAGACACTTCACCTGACGTGCCTTCAGATCGCTTCACTGGGCAGAGACTGTTAAATGCCTGAGTGCACAGAGTGAATGAGAGATTGTTTTTTAATGGTGCGTGTCCCAGTTGCCATACTGGTTTAGTCCTGGTCCAGCCCAGTATTAGTTCTAAAATTAGTTCCAGTTTTGTCCCATTTTCAATGTGGTCCGTGTGCAAGTGTGAACGCTCCCTGAAAGTAGAACTGCACCTACTGTCAGCGTCAATGAGAGAAAGACGCTCAGTATAGTATATAGGCTGATGTTTAATGAGATGTGTGCAGGTTTATGTATTCAAAATCTACTTTTACTTTGGATAAATAATACTGCTTAAACACAATGCTGATATTTTCACTAACGCAGGGGTCTCCAACCTGTAGCTCAGGAGCAACCAGTAGCTCTCCACCTCCTTCCAAGTCGCTCACCAAGGGATTTTTGCTTTTTATTGTGGATAATAAGTAAAATTGTATTACCGTATTTTTTGGACTATAAGTCGCACTTTTTTCATGATTTGGGTGGTCCTGCGACTTATACTCTGGTGCGACTTATGTATTAAAATTTTCACACTGACAGCCGCGAGAGGCTCTAGGCTTGTGTGTCAGTATCTGCTGCTCCTGTTACTCCTGTACCACTGTCACTTGGCTCTATTGCGCATGTCTCCTGCAGAAAGAGCCTCTGTCCTGTCTGTATCATGTCGGTCGATCGCACCATTACTTCTGTACCACTGAAAACTTAAAATTTAAATCATTCAGTGACAACCGACACCATCCTGTCGGGATTCAAAAAGACCAGACTAATTCTAACAGGAATTGATGCTGAGTCTGATGAGAATTACAGGCGATTGCTCCGTTTACCTCCGAAGGTCGTGGAGTTGCTCAGAAGTGACACCGAGGATGAAGAATTCAATGGATTTAGTGATTTGGAGTGAGATGGAGAGTTTGGTAAACATGTTATGTTCTGTTCTTTATGCTATAGTTGTCAGAATAACTGTTTATATGTGACAATCTGTTGTTCTCTGTTCTATTATTACTGTAACTTGCCTTTCAAGATGAAATGTCAGTTCCTGGTCTCTGATTTCCCCCCCAAAAAGTGCAACTTATAGTCCAGTGCAACTTATCTGTTTTTTTCTTTTTCATTACACATTTTTTACCTGGTGCGACTTATACTCCAAAGCGACTTATAGTCTGAAAAATACAGTAATTGCCACTGTAAATGTATCATGTTGATGACTAACTTGGTGCACCGATAAATGGATAATGGTTTATGTTTCATAAGCATCTAACTGTTCCCCATCTAAGGTTTGCTGTGGCTCTTATATTTACTCAGTTTCTTTGTGACTGCTGAAATTTTTGTTTCGTAAATGTAGCTCACTGGATAAAAAAGGTTGGAGACGCCTGCACAACTGTAACAGATTTCACTTGTGGATATTCTTGGTATGAAAAAAAAAAACAAACAAGGTATTTATTTCTTTGAAGAGGCTCATTGTCCATTTTGCAGAGCAATCTAAAATCTAAAACCAACCCATGTTTCTGAAGGTCATTGTGGAGTAGTGGCACACAAACATTTCAATGGGCTACTTAGAATTAGTCCGCTATGCCCCTCTCCATCTGTACCGGCCATCTCTGTAAAAAGGCACATGTGTGAGAGCCCAGAGACCCCATCACTGCGAGGAAGGACAGCAATGAATGCCCCCTTTGAATTTGTAGAAAAAAAAAAAAAAAAACGCGCGCGCTACGTCATGGAAAGAATGACGTCAGGGTAGATTAGCGTCAAGGCGAGTAGTACAAGAAAGGGGAAGCTCCTATTTGTGGTTTTAGGTGGAGTTCAGTAGCAGCTGCAGACATGATGTAGTTGTAGTTTTAATGTTTTTTTTATTTATTTTATTATTTGTAGATGATTTTTTTGCGTAGTGAAGCATAAAAGCACCGCACTGACAGACACAGACGCGTAGTGAAAAAGCGGAGGGGTTAATAATCCTGATATTATAAAGCGACAGGAGCATCGCAAAGAGGGACCGGGGAGATCAGGTATGACGTAACCGTTTCCATAGGCGACTGATATGCCAGCTCGACCAATCGAAATCCACACGAGCGTTCCGTATCCATCCTCTTTTTTGACGCGCGTCACATGTCCGTGCTGGCGGCGCGGCGACAGGAGCGGCGCGGAGCGGAGCGAAATAGTTATGTGCAACCCACTTCCTGGAACGCTGCTGTCATAATGTTCCACCGAACGACCGGCGTGCGCGTATTTTCCACTTTGTCGTTTTGAAATGTTTCCCATAACGCTTACAGACTCACAGGCGATTGCTTTTACTTAGATTTAGACATCTTTTTGATCCACAAGTGAAATTATTTGGACACACATCACAATATAATACAATAACAAAGAGTAAAAAATATAAATGGTAAGAGTAAATTCTAAATAAGTAGCAAAAAAGATAGCAAGAGACAGAGATGTGAAATAACACATAATTATATAAATGTCAAGTTATTTAATTATACAAGTCAAAATAAAACAGAAAAAAACAGAAATAAAATACAAAATCTCAGTTATATACAAGAGGTCATAGGAAGTGCAACAATATGATCATCTGTTACATTAGGGTGAGTTGTTGTACAGTTGTAGGGAGTATTACATGCTTCATAAAGCTGAGTTGTTGTAGTTGTAGGGAGTATTATCTGTTACATAAAAGTGAGTTGTACAGTTGTAGGGAGTATTATCTGTTACATAAAGGTGAGTTGTTGTACAGTTGTAGGGAGTATTACATGCTTCATAAAGGTGAGTTGTTGTACAGTTGTAGGAGTATTATCTGTTACATAAAAGTGAGTTGTACAGTTGTAGGGAGTATTATCTGTTACATAAAGGTGAGTTGTTGTACAGTTGTAGGGAGTATTACATGCTACATAAAGCTGAGTTGTTGTACAGTTGTAGGGAGTATTATCTGTTACATAAAAGTGAGTTGTTGTACAGTTGTAGGGAGTATTATCTGTTACATAAATGAGTTGTTGTACAGTTGTAGGGAGTATTATCTGTTACATGAGGGTGAGTTCTTGTACAGTTGTATCCAGTATGGTATGAGTATGATTATTATGTGTTATATAAAGATGAGTTGTAGTGTTGTAGGGATTATTATATGCTACATAAAGGTGAGTTCTTGTACAGTTGTATGCAGTATGGTATGAGTTTAATGATATTATATTATCATTATATTCCCACAGTTTTTTTTTTTTTTTTTTTTTTTTGATAAACCTAGTAGCCTATTAACGTGCCCATGGTCTAACCCTCAATTATGAAACCGCGGCCTGCTGTTTGGATGTTATTTTAGCATTTGTCGCTTTGGCCTATATAGATTTTCCATACAGCTCAGCCTATTTACCCAGATTATGTCATAGGATTTTTTGCCGTTCCCATAAATATCTTTACCATAGAAAATCTACAACCTATGAGCAAAGTCCTAAGAGTGAAGGCAAACTGAGCCTAAATAAACAGCTATATTTCTAAATGATCATATTTCCAGCTGTTGTAACTTCTGTTTTTTTGTATTTCAAACTATCAATACTTTCCACATCAATACGAATCCCCTTCCATTGGACATTGACAAAATAATTAAGCTATTGAGCCACTTTGAACCGATGTTGTAGCCGTTATAGCCTAGAGGCCTATCCTGCCCCTGTCTGCTTTACGCCACATTCAAAATTTACAGAGGATACGGATTAGACAACACCTCCAACACCTTCACAAAGGTTCAGAGCAATGACAAAATCCAAGTCCAACAGTTTATTTTATTTTATTTTAATGTTTTGGACTAGACTTAGACAAACTTTATTGATTCACAAGGGAAATTATTTGGACACAGTAGCTCACAGATCACATCACAACATATATCATAATAACAAAGACCAACAATATAAATGGTAATAATAAATTCTAAATAAGTACCAAAAACACAGACAAATAGGGCTGGATATCATTAAGAAGTTGCCGATATGATGCATACCTCGATACAATGAGTTTTCAATTCAATGCGATATATTTCAAATCGATTCAATACGGTACGATAAAAAGGCTAAATCTGGGCTGTGATACTAAAAGTCTTTGTTAAACCACTTCTTGTGTAAAGTCAATATGAAACACAAACATTTTAATAATCAAAACTGTGAAAATATCAAATGTGTCACATAAACAAGTTTCCTTCCACTAAACAAGCAACAAAACTGTAGCACTGTGACAAAATAATTGTGTAAAATATACCAAAAAATCCTCTTAGCGATATTTCGATACAGCAGCCCATGATATCAATACTGTATATATTGATATTTCAGTATTTTTGCACATCCATATTGACCAGTCTTCAGAGTGAATCATTACTGCCATATTCCAAAGAAATAAGATTTAAAGTGCTTAATAACAGTTATTTTATGATGTATTAAAAGATCATGGCCTATGCAGTTCCCTCTTTTTTTTAATGTTTTTAAGAAAAAACCTTGCAATTCGATATACTGTGATGGACCACGATATATCGATACAGCAACACACGATATTGATACTGTATCATCACATTAAACGATACAGTATATTGATATTTCGATATTTTTGCACACCACTAATAATTATAGTAAAAATAAAATATAAACATTCAGTAATACAAATATGCCTCAGCTATATGCAAGATGTCCTAAGGAAATATTGCATTTTTAAATATTTTTGCGTATTTATGTATTTATTTTTTATCCGCACAGCCATTCTCCATTAAACTCCACTTGTCCACCTTATTTCTTGTCTTCGGAGGTGTTTCTTCAGTTTGGTTTCCACCCCCTGCACGCTGTAGCTGCTTTTTCGGGAGTAGCAGCGCATTCTCTTGGCTCTTCGCAGGGGATCGGTGTGTGTGTGGCGGTGACAGCAGCAGCGGTGGGCGGGGGCAGGGCTCTGTGCACGGACCGAGTCTAGTCTTCGCAGAGACCGTAGACCGGAGGGGAGTTAACACGGGGATTGGGGCTGCTCTTCACTGCACGGAGTAAGTATTTTCCACTACATTATACCCGCGTTTCCAGCCTGCAAAGTGCCAAATGGACCGATTTACGCACGGAGCAACCTCCAGGCGCGAGGTTTTTAGGGACTGCATGCAATCCACAGCCCGGGTGTGGGTTTATTTCTGTGCAGTGACTAAAAAGAGGGCCACTGGTGTGCTGTCTTGTTGGTTGTTAGCTGTGCCTGAAGCTAACGCTAGGCTAACATTGTAGAATGGATAGACACCGACATTGGGCTTTTCCTGACACTCAGCTCAGCGGCGTGGATACTAGAAAATGTTATGTATTAGATTCGGTTTGAGTAAGGCTACAACTTTTCTCTGATCAGTATTTCGCGACTTGCCACTTGTTTAGGGTCGCTTTTGTGTTTCTTTCCCACATAATCATTGCAGCTAACGCGGGGCTAGAGCTAATGTGGAGCGCCCGCTTTGACTTGACTCTCCCGGATGGATTTTCTGGACTAAAATGTATTTTTGGTGCCGTGATGTCCGCGCCACACGAACCGATTACAGATTTTACTGAAGACGAATCAGCGTTTTGACCTGTCCCTCAAAGCCAGAGCAGCCCATATAAGCTGTCATTCACTAACAAATGAGTGAAATATGTTGCAAATCCAAGTAAACCGGCGACTAACGGGATTTCTTTTGCAAATTCGTCCCCCGCGCCGTTACTTGGACTAGTCTCTCTCCGGCTCCAAATGTGCGTGAAAATTATTATGTCAAACCCCATGTCACTGTCTGTTCAACGACACACGCGCAAGTGACGGCGAACGACTTTATTTTCCCCGTCAAATATTAAAATTGCAATGGGAAATCGCCTCGGACATGTCGGCGATCTCATCCATTTACGCACGGATAACCTGTGGTGTTATTCGCCGATGCTTTTACCCAAACCAGAAAGGGCAACGCTACAAGAAAAGCCATGTCCAAGTGTGCCTATCTTATCTGAGCAGCATACCTACCGAGCCCACGTCGCTCCCTGCAAGACTACTTTCTTCTTCTTCCACTGAACGCACAATGGTTAAAAGACACATCCTTCGCCCGGGGATTAGCAACTCGGAAAAGGAAAGAATGCAGTAATGGCTATCGGTCTCGCGTTTCCAAAAGCTTTCCACGTACTGCAAGTTGATTACGGCTGCTGCGGCGTTAACTTTATCCGCCTGACCTTGTAGAAAATGTAATATTATAGAGTCCGTGGCTACCTGCAGGTTACCAGGCTGCTGTGGCTGCTGTGCACGCGGTAGGTCACTGAGCACCCATGGGTGTCAAGCTGAAGGGATCACTCTTCATCCAATTAAAACGCACCGGGCTCGTGCTGCAGTGGCGTCTGTCTACTCACTTTTGCCATCAGTGAGGACTTTAAACCGGGTTAGACTTTACACTGTCGCAAAGATTACTACACGTTTGGATCGAGACTGTAGTGGCACAAACATTCACGATTTAAAACTACATTTAACACTGCAAATTTAAGACATCATTTTCAAAAAAGCCAAAAAACAGTATTGCTATTGTCAGTAAACAAAATCCGCAAGTTAGGAATGTGCTTTGGCGTTACAGTGCAACATAAAACATTAGTAGGAATAAAGTATTAATGAATTATGAAACGTATGAATAGTGATTTATGATTTGAATAGGCTAAAACTACATTTACTAGTGCAAATTTAACATATAATTCAAAAAAATCATCATCAGAAAAACTAAAAAGCTTCACTGCTATTGTAAGTTAACAAATTGTTGCTATAGATTTGGATTCAGACTAAAAAAATGACACTATCACAAAGTTTTCTACACATTTGGATTCAGACTTTAGTGGCACTTGTGATTCATGATTTGAATAGCTCAAAACTGCATTTAAAAGTACAGATTTAAGATGTAATTTTAAAAAATCTTTATCAGAAAAAACTAAAAAGCTTCACTGCTATTGTAAGTTAACAAATTGTTGCTATAGATTTGGATTCAGACTAAAAAAATGACACTATCACAAAGTTTACTACACATTTTGATTCAGACTTTAGTGATTCATGATTTCAGTAAGTCAAAACTGCATTTAAAAGTACAAATTTAAGATGTAATAAAAAAAAAAAAATCAATCAGAAAAACAAAAAAGCTTCACTGCTGTTGTAATTTAACAAAGTCTTACTACAGATTTGGATCCGGACTGTAGTGGCACGAGCAATTCATGATTTGAATGAGTTAAAACTGCATTTATTAGTTGAAATTTAAGACACAACTTTTAAAATCATAATAAAACAAATTAAAAAGCTTTATTGCTATTGTCAGTCAATAAAATCTGTACAGTACAACATAATCCATAAGTAGGCCTAAACTATGAATTATACTAAAAGAAAAGGCATACAAAATAACATTTTAACACATTAACTGCTCTATGTTTTGCAATTTCAGCTATTTTTTTTGTGATTGAGAGAAATTCTGACTGTCGCTATAAGCAAACATGCAAATCAGCTTTAAAAATAACTGCCTCTTAATGTATATGTCTGCATGTTTTGTCTCCGTTTTTCCCTTGTAAAAAGATTTCGGGGTTAGATTAATGATTCACTGAACCACCAGTAACTCAAGCTGTCACTGTGTCTGAGGCCTTTGAACTCAGACTGTTGCTGTCACTCAAGAATCACTAAAATATCCTTTCTTTCTATTCCTCTCTCGTTCTCACACTTTTGGCATTGTTTTTCGTACTGGGCATGTTTTCGTATGCTGTGGTCTATAGTCTAATATCTGTCTTTTTATTGTGATTGTTACTTAAAGTTCTTAAAGAGATAATTTTGATGCATACATTCTCCAGTTTCATAACCATAGGGATTGAAATCACACTTTGAATGAACGTAATTGCCAAAAATGATAGTTATTTAGTTAATATTCAGTCTCTATGGGGTTTCTATTTTTAAAACCTGCTTACTTAGTGTAGATTTTAACACATTAGCAGCCATTATTTCAGTTCTCTGTCCAGTTTCGATACTTCTTGACGCTTTTAACACATGTACTTTGAACTTAACATTGATTTCTGAATTGTTTATCTACTCACACGTTCACTCATTGTTCAAAAAAATCCCTATAAGGTCTTAACAACAGTGGACAGAATCAATCTCGTTAGGTTATTTTCGAAAAGATGGCTCCATTGTTGTGTGGTGGTCTCCCCTTGCAGTTCCGCGTAGCTGTTTGTAGCTGGGTGCATAAAGTAATTCATTAATCTTTGTGGTGTAGCGCGTCCTTAGCTCATCGTTAGCCTCCTTTGTGCCATCTGATCCGGCTTCTCATGTAACTGTCACGCTCAGTTACAAGGATAACGTAACACTGACGAAGAAGAAGGAGGAGAAGAAGAAGAAAATGCACATTAAAACATAGGCAGCTTGAGTTTGAGTCATGATGGTGGATTAACACGCGTAACACTTAACACGGACACATGAATTACCCTTATTAAAGTCTTATTTAAAGGCTTAATTCAGAATAAGCAAATGATTGATTCAGGTTTAGTTACTACTTAGGGATGGGACGAGATACAGTTTCTACTCTACGAGACGAGACACAAGATTGATACTACGAGAACAAGACAACCCAAATTTTGACATTCTTTAGGCTATAATAACTAAACCGTGCAATCCACTTCCCAATTTTGGCCTCACCGTTTCTGATTTACTTATTTATTTTATATTTTTGCTGTCATTGTTGCATTTTGGGACTACAGTTTCTCCAAAAAAAAATGTAACTCACCAGTACTTAACTCAATTTTAGTTTTTATCCAGTAGTATTAACTAGGGATGTAACGGTATCGAAATCTCATGGTATGATATTATCATGATATGCCTCTCACAATACAATAATTATTGCAATATTTTGGAGAGGTTGACGCTATTTTTTTCCTTTTTAAATACCTTGATCAGTAGGGCTGGGTATCATTAAAAAGTTGCTGATACGATACATACCTCGATACATACGCCACGATACATATCTCGATACATAGACCATGATACGATACATATCTGGATACCGTGAGCTTTTGATTCAATACGATTCGATAAGATATATTTCAAATTGATTCAACATGGTTCAATAAATAATAAAGGCTAAATCATGGCTGTGATACTAAAAAACTTCTTGTGCAAAGTTCACATGAAACACAAACATTTTAATCCTCAAAAATGTCAAAATATCAAATATGTCGCATAAACTAGTTTCCTTCCTCTCAACAAGCAACAAAACTGTAGCGCTGTAACAAAATAATTTAGTAAATATACCAAAAAATACTCTTGGCGATATATCAATACAGCAGCTCACGATATCGATACTGTATATATCGATATTTCAGTATTTTTGCACACTTCTATTGACCAGTCTTAAGAGTGAATCATTATTGCCATATTCCAAAGATTTAAAGAGCTTAATAACAGTTATTTTATGATCTATTAAAGGATCATGGCCTATGCAGTTCCCTCTTTTTTAATGCTTTTAAGGAAAAACCTTGCAATTAGATATATTGTGATGGACCACGATATTATTGTGAGAATTTTGACGATACGATATCACGATATTTTGGTTATTGTTACATCCCTAGTATTAATAACAGCTACATTTTACCTTTCATTCAGTAGAGATAGTCATTTCCAGCTCTGAAATCCTCCAAATGATTCTAGTGAAGGAGTACGGAGTTTAAAAACCCAGTGGAGCTCTTCCTGTAGCACCACATGACATGAGTGTTTTCTGTTTGAGAGAATAACTCGGCCTAAATGTGCAGGGTTTGTGTGTGAATGAAACAAGACACAACTCCAGTTTTGTTTGTGATGAGGAAAAAACATTATGACATAGATCTGAAAATAGCGTAATATGAGCCCATTAATAGCCCATTTGTTCATTATGAATTAAGTCATTCTTCATGCTTTATTAAGGCTATAAACAGTGAAGTAGTAGTAGTAGTTATTAGACAATACTATCTTAAAATGTAATGTTAGAAAGTGCATTTATCATCTTTGAATGTC